CACTAAGCCAGCAGACGTTTGGCCAACATGATGTTGCAAACGGGTTTGTACTTGCATACTTTTTGAAGTGGCTGTCAGTCTTGTCCACTCCCCGAAGGCGGGTGACTGCTAACATGGGGTCCATCTACCCTGTCCTATTTCTTTTTTGTTTTTTGGGGGGTATTTTTTAGCTGAGCCATCCTGCCACCTGTTGGCAGCTCAGGCCGGGAATTGAACCACTGTTGCTCAGAGCTCAAACTCTTGAGCAAGCTCTTAACCAATTGAGCGACTCGGCCGGCCCTAGTCCTATTTCTTTTATTCACAAAACATGCCTGTCCCCTAGGGCCATCAGAGTTTGCAAGCTCCACCTTACATCAATACCCTGTGCCCTCCCCATAATGGTTGAAGCCTTCTTAGCAGCCAACGTTGAGTACCCACTCCATCCAGGTAGTGCTGGGGCTTTCCAGGGACCTTCTCCCTTAACCATCACTCAGGATGTGTGGCAGAAACATTGTAAGCCCCACTTTCCAGATGAGGAAACTGAGGACCACAGTAGTCACACAGCACGTGTGTGACAACACTCATATTTGAACCCAGACCTCTCTAAACCTCCACATTCCCCTGCTGGGTACAGCCATAGAGAGACAGTGGGCTGACAGCATGGCCCTCACCATTCTCCTGGGCAAAGCGGGAGGCCTCCAGGAAAGTGACCTCGCGCTCAGGGTCCAGGTCCTTCTTGTTGCCACAGAGGATAACCACGATGTTGGGGCTGGCCAGTGTGCGGGCATCTGTCAGCCAGGCAGCCAGTGAGTTGTAAGTCTCCCGGCTGTGGAGAAAGAAGGAGGAGGGAGGTGGGCGCAGGAGAGGGGCTGCCCAGACCCCACCCTACCCATTCCATATACTTACCTTGTAATGTCATACACCAGTAGGGCTCCGGCCGCCCCTCGGTAGTAACTCCGCGTCACTGACCTGTGGGGCCAGGGGGACCCAGTCACCCCCGAGGCTGGGGTCTGCCCCAAGACTGCCCCCCTCTGCAGAGAAAGACTGGTGGTTCGGAAGCCCCCCTTCATCCTGGCCTATCCCCCAAAACCTGGCATGGTTTGGCCTCGCTACAATTTCTCTATCTCGCAGTCTCTGTCTCCCCCAATCTCTATTTCACTTAGCTGTTTGTCTGTCTACCTCTGTCTGAGTCTCTCCCTATCTTTGACTCTCTCTGTGTCCCTGTCTTTCTGAATCTCTTCGTTGGTCTGGTCTCTGTGTTTCTCGCTATCTCCCTTATGTGTGTCTTTAAATCTCCATTTCTGTCTCTGACTCGCTCTCTTATCCTCACTCTTGTATTCCCATTCATTCATTCATTCATTCATTCATTCATTCAACATTTCCTGTCATCTCCCCTTTGCCCAGTTCTGGCCAAGTGCTATGCAATTACATCCGCTGGATCCTCTCTGTTTCCTGACCATACACAAGGACCAAGTTGTATATGTCTTCTCCAAGATGAAGGGCTGAGGGCAGATCTTCCGAGGAAGCAGTGTCTGGGGGAGGCCCCCTTCCCAGTATGGCCCACAATCTGTATCTCCCTGTGTCACCAGTCTGGGCCCTTCTGGAACGCATGCAATCATTCCACAAACAATTATTTAACACTTACTACAAACCCAGTTCATGTGGCATACCTGTCTCTCCTTTGTCCTCTCTCTCTCTGGCCACTATGCACTTCACACAGTGAACTAACACACAAGTATAACTTAGCTACGAAGTGCTGCCCAGGGACCATACTTCTCCATGGACCGGACTCCCTATTTCTCAGACTCAGGGTTTCTATGTGTCTATCACCTCTTCTGCAGACATTTCCTGAAGACGTACTGTGTGCTGAGCCCTATACGTTTTTCTCTCTCCACAACACAGAGATTTCTCCATCTCTCTGGCTACACCTGTCCCATTCTCCCTGTCTCTGTTCTGTGTCTCCTTATATCCCTTATCTTTCTCTTCTTCTCTCGGTCTCTGTCTTTCTCTCTCCCTCTCTGACTGTGTGTATCTCTTTCAAAGGGTCTTTCTATTTTAGTCACTCTCTTTCCATCTCTACCTCCTCATGCCCAGCCCAAGTGTGTCTTACCTCCAGGCCTGGTCTCTCCCTGGGCACAAGTCTCCATCCCTCCAGCCATATGGGTCTCACTACCATAGTCTCTCTAGGGTCTGCTGGCCTCTCCCTGGGCCTCTCACTCTTCGCTATGCTTCTTTCTCAATCTCTTTTTCTCTCACTGTCTCTGTCGTCCTCTGTCCAAAACTTATTCTCTCTTTGGCTGTATATACCTGCTACTCACAGTCTCTGTCCCTCTCCCTCTGCCTTGCCTGTCCTCTCAGTTTCTCCTTGCTATATTATGTCAAGTGACTCCACACTGCTCTCTCTCTCCCATTTTCTCTCCTCTCTCTTCCCTCCTCCCCCTACTCTGTCTTTCCATGAGAGCCCAGCCCACCTACCGAAACCGCTCCTGGCCAGCCGTGTCCCAAATCTGTAGTTTCACAGTCTTCCCACCCACGTTGACTACCCGAGATCCGAACTCCACGCCGATCGTGTGGTTGGAGTCCTGTTTGACTGAAGTGGGAGAGCGGGAAGAGGCAGTGGAGGGACTCAGAGGATTCCCTGTCCTCCAAGGCCTTCTCAGTCTGTACAAACCCATTCTCATTGTTGGGGAGGACTTAGCAAAAAACATACACCAGGTAGCTAGCACTGAAATTGTACCTATGGCCAGCCCTCCCCCTGTCTCCCCCAACCACTGCCTATGTCATGCCCATGCCCACCGTTCAGTGCTCCCAAGACCACTCCCAGGCACTCACATTTATTCTCAATGAACTGATGAAGAAGACATGATTTGCCAGTTCCTGCACTGCCAATCACCAGGAATTTGAAGAGGAAGTCTGAGCAGATGGAGCCCAAATCAGGAAAATCCATATGGAGAGAAAGATACAGGGGAAAATATGGAATCCAAGAGGCCATCAGAGTTATAGAGAAAGAAACAGACACAGGCAGAAACAGAGCAATGAGTAACAACAGTAACAGATAATTCTTATCTAATGCTTACCATGTACCAGACACAACTCTAAAGTTCTTTACTTACATCAACAGCTCACTTAATCCTCAGGAAAACTCTATGAGGGACGTATACTAATAATTAGCCCCATGTTCCAGATGAGGAAACTGAGGCCAGAAAGGTTAACTGACTTGCCCAAGGCCCCAAAGCTAGGCAGAGCTGGAATTCAAACCCAGGAAACTGGCTCCAGAGTCCAAGATCTTAACTTGGACTTGGACTTAATTGCTAAGGCCTCTTGACAGCCATTATATCAAGGACTACACGCTAGCCCTTGACCCTTATAACTTCACCTCCTACCCCTCTCTGACACATTGACTCCACTCTAGCCTCTGGATTTCAGTCTGCTCCTGAAGATGACAAGCTGACTCCCACCTTAAGGTCTTTGCCCTTGTTCACTATGCTTTTTTCTATTTGCTGAATGAATGCAGCTCCCTCTGACTCCTAAACCAGTGCTCTTCCTACCGCATCCTGTCCTCCCACCTCCTATCTGTCCATCCAGATTTTCCAATTCTAAGTCCCTCCTTCCTTCCCTCTGCCCAAGGCCCTGCAACTAGTCTCAAGCTTAAGCCCCACCCCCCAAGTTCAAGGATAACTCATCCCCAACCCCATTCCAGACCTCAAGCCAGAGCAATCCCTGCCTGGATCCAGAGCATCCCTTCAGGCATCCCTAGCCCATCAAATTCAATCCGCCATTCACAAGTGAGCCCCGCCCCATCCACGCAGGCTCCGCCACGACACATTAAAGCCCACCCTCTCCCTCAATGTCTACCTGACCCATCATGACTGGCTCCCTCAAGTCCCGCCCCAAATCTATTAAACCCACAACTAGACCCTCAGGCTCCGCCCAAATCGATTAAGCTCAGCCTCAGACCCACTAAACCCCACCCAGCATCCACTAGGCCCTGCCCCATAACGCCAGACCCCGCCCCCTCATATGTAAAGCCCCGCCCCATTTCCACAAGCCGCATCCTCCCTGGGCCCAGTCCCCAGACCCCAGCTTCGGCCCACCACCCTCACCATAGGTCTCAGCCATGACTCGATTGCGGCCGCTGAGGGCCGCAATATGGCGCCGCGGCCGCGCCTGCTCCTCGGCTGGCAGCCGCTGTCCTCCGGCTGCAGCCCCGGCTCCTTCCTACTCCCGGGGCCGGCGCCACCACTTCCGCCTCCACCCCCCTCCGGCGCGGCCCGCTAGGGCTGCAGGACACCAGGCCACACTTCCCAAGGGCAGGGATTGGAGAACTCGGCGGTCAGGGGGCGGGACAAAAGGTACGGATTGGTGGTGTGAGAGGGAAAGAGCCGAAAGGGGCGGGACCAAGAAGAGCGATTGGCGGAGCAAGTGGGAAGAGGCGTTGCAGAGATGCTTAGCGGAGAGTAGAAACGGATTTGGTCAGAAGTCCCGGAGCAGAGTCGAGACTCCGCATTGGGTAGAAGCGGATTTGGGGGCGGGGTCACGGATGCAAAGAAGGGGATATGGGCAGGATTGACAAAAAGAGCCTGAAACAGGGGCGGCTCTTGAGCGGCAAGTGCGATTTGACCTCAAAATCAGGATGAAAATTGGGGGTTTAAGCGCAGGTTAATCTCCCAACTCCCTTTCCAGATAATCTTCCAAGAAAACCTCTGCTCTGCGATTTATGTCTTCCTCATGATCCGACGGGCCCATTCAATAGTTCCACTCCCTCCCATTGTTTCTTGAGGAAGTTACAATCCCCTAATTAGGCTGTTTAGATTATTCCGTCTTCTCATTTGCTTGTGTGCGATATCTCAGATTAGGAGCCCACCTCCAATACCCAGTTTAGAGCAAAGAGCTTTTGGTCAGTGAAACTCTGCCTGGCAACCATTGACGTTGAGAAGTCAGTGGGTTGATTGGCTAGATTAGGAAACTGGGGACCCATTTCCTTTATCGTTCCCCACCACAAAGACCACAGCGACCCGCAGTTTGCACTTGGCTGATGTATTTGCATAAAGCCGGGAAGAAAAAAAACAGCAGGGACAGCAATAGGCTGAGATCACTGGCAGTAGAAATCCCATTTCTGGAAAAGAGAAAGGGAAAACAGTGGGGGAAAAAACAGCGGTCACACCACAAAGCATCTGGTGGTTTTAGCGAAGGCTGTAGTTGCAGGGGCCAAGTTTGGCCACACAAGTGCTATGCAAAATAGCCTAGAGCTCTCTAATTTTTGCACCTCTCAGCTGGATTGGGATATAGAAACCGCTCCCCATTTCGCAGATGAAACAAACTGAGGCAGACAACTTATCCCAATGTACTCGTACACAGCTAAACTGAAGGAGAGTGAAGGGTAGGATCATCTATGCCTATCATCACAAACCAAGGGTCTTCCCTCCAGAGCCCTGCCAGTCCCCAAGACACTCACATCGGTCTTCACATCGATTTTGCCAGGTTTCAGAGTCTGGTCCTCGCGTACGATGCTACTGGGGAAATAGCCCAGGCGAGCAGCCAGGTCTCCATAGTAATCTCCCTGAACCTGGGGAAGAGGGGTTAAAAGCCGGGGTCTGGAAAGATTGCAAGCTTGTGCCTGCTGAAGTCCTTTGCACTAGCTCTTCCTGATCTCCACATGGCTGGCTCCATCCTTGTCACCAGATCGCAGCTTAAAGTTATCTGGTGCCCTCCCTAACCACCTAATGTAGTCACCCAGTCACTCTTAATTCTAAAGCAGCACCTATTTCCTGATATATGGCTAGTCTCCTTCCACTAGAATAAAAGGGATATTCGCTGTTGTGTCTTCAGTGTCTTGAACAGAACTTGGTACCATAGAAGTGCCCTGTAATTGCTAAACTAAGTAAAAACAGATCACAGTAGACACCCCGCCAACTCTATTTCAGTTCACCCGCTCAAATTTTCCCTTTATGTGGAAAATTAGGATGCACTCCCACCCCATACCCTTTCCTCTTCTGTTCACCCAAAACTCACACTGCCTCCCCAGAAGAGCCGCCCTCGGCCCTTCAGCTTGGAAAAGACATACACGACTTGGCCCCTGTGTATGGTCAGGAATCGGCAGTCAGGGGCCACGTAGTCTTGAAGGGCCACAGCCATGGAGATGGGGTCTGGGGAAGGAATAGAAGGGAATGACAGTACCCTCCACAGAGGCGGGCAACCAAGCCCCAATCCTCCCACCCCCCACCCCCAACTCTTACGGCTGCATTCCTCATCAGCACACAGCTTCCGGTCAGCCAACTTGGGCATGGAGCGGCCCCCGACACTAGGTCCTGGTAAGGTAGACAGCAAGATGATGACACCAAGCAACACCCGGGACCAAGCCATTATGGACTATGAGGAGTGACCAAGGGGGGAATGGGATCTCCAATTTCCTCTGCCCTCCCTCTCTCCAGCAGTACAAGGAAACCTATGTTCTCAGTTTTGTCCCCGCCCTAAAAGTCCCGAATTTCACCCACACCACCTAGAGGCTGCTACCTAGCCAGAACCATTTCAAAGATAGGGTGAGGGGCTGCCCGCCCAAGGAAATGCCCAGCTAGACCCAAAGCAGCCCAGGCCACTTCAAGTGACAGCTACCCCCTCAACAGAGGCCCAGACAGGCAGATTGAGATATTCAATTCCATCTTAAGTCGGCTTGGGTACCTGGGCCCCTCCGCTATGCCCTCCAGGGACAGAACCAGAGGAGCCAGCATGGAAAACCACCTTGGAATTTCCTGTGCTGAGGGGCAGAACAGACAGCCCTTTGATTGCCAGGAATAGCCCCAGCTCTCAAGTACTGAGTGAATATTATGTGGGGCCTTAGGCTATGCAACGCCCTGTCATGACTATCCTCACCACTTTTTGAGTGACCTGGGCTAAGTTATTTCTCCTCTTCATGCCTAACCTTTCTCATCTGTAAAATAGGAATAAAAGCTAATATTTTAGGGCATTCACTATTTTTATTATTTACGTATTCTTATTAACTCAAATGGATACTCTGCATCATCTCAAGAGAAGCTATAATAACCCCATTTTACATGGAAATGGGAAGCACAAAGCCTTACGGAACTGGTCTACGGTTACCAGGCCGGGAAGTGGAGGGGCTAGATTTTGCTCCAGGCCCACTCTGAGCTTGGAGTTCAGTTGCCCAAGGTCAGAATAAGGAAGTGGAGGATGTGAAATCAAGTTTCACCTCTAAAACTGCTTCAGAGACTCACTTACTGAGATCCTCCTCCTGAGCATCCACCTTTCCCCGGGCATTCTTACCTCTGGGACGTTAAGCCCCAACTTTTTTGGAGAGGGGAGAAGAGAATGAACACACACAGGCTTGGGGTGGGGAAGAATTCATCAGGGGCAAAGACTGGGCCTAAACCATCTCTCCATAACCAACAGCCAGAGCCAAGTACCACAGTTGCATCAAACAGCTCTACTCAAATGTCGCCTCCTCCGAGGGGCTTTCCTGGGTCACCCAGTTCCTGTTCCCCAGCCCTGCCTCCCCATCACTCCATGACATATTTTGCTAATAGCAGAAGACAGTACTTGAAATTAGCTTGTCTATTTTTTTCACCACTGTATATCCTATGCCAAGAACAGTATTTAGCACATAAGTTTATTCAGCAAGTATCTGCTGAATTTACTCAGTTGCTTGCTAGGTGTCTGGCAGTGGAGGTGTGTTAAGGGAGTGGCGAGTACAAACAATACCAGTTTAACACAGAGGTTCCTCTTTACACAGGAAGAAAATGACTCTCAGGGTGGGGTAATAGCTAAGGAGTCCCCCAAGCAGACAGGAGAGACCAGGATCTGCTGACCGCAGAACCTATGGTTGCCAGTGTGGTGGGCAAGACATTTCCACTTGCCATCCGCAATAACACTGTCGTCTTTCAGTGACACCAGCAATCCCTTTCTCCTTCCATTCAGCTCCTACAGGGAAAGTCTGCATTTGGTGCTACAAGTCTCATTACTTCAGTCATCTTCCTCTTTAACGAAAAGAGCTGAGCAGGAGCAGGCTTGGACTTAGAGCCTTGGCAGGAAAAAATATCCAGAGAATGTAACACTACGTCTTATTCTATTTATTTTTGTGGTTAATTTTCTACTTCTGTCAAATCATCTTTTTCCCATCTATGAGGCCTGACAATTAAGTTCATGAAATCATTCTAGAAAAAGTGCTACATACCTCATTGCTGAATATCATAAGGTCACCTTTTAAGTACTCCCCTTGGGAAGCTACGCACCAATGCCAGCGTCTAATCCACCCTTCAAAGCAATTTGGAACTCTTTTTCTGGAATGGCCATCAGCACCGTCATCGTATTACCCCTGATGTCCTGAATGTAATCAAAATGTCTTTCAATATTTCCTTTATTTTTGGGTAAAGAAAGAAGTCACTGGGGGCCAGATCACGTGATCCAATAGTTGTTTACTGGCTAAAAACTCCCTCACAGACAGTGCCGTGTGAGCTGGTGCATTGCCATGATGCAAGAGCCATGAATTGTTGGCGACAAGTTTAGGTCTTTTTTTTTTTTTTTAAGGTTTTTATTGGGTAACTGGGGAGAACGGTGTTAGGGAATTGGGGAAGGGAACATTGTTTTTCCAGGACCCATCAGCTCCAAGTCAAGTCGTTGTCCTTCAATCTTAGTTGTGGATGGCACAAACTCAACTCTAAGTCCAGTCGCCGCCCACCATCCCATGCAGAAGCAACCTTGTTGCACACTGAGCCATCCAGCCGATGGCAGCTCGCTGCTGCTCACCTTAAGTGCAGTGTTTAACCTTAGTTGCAGGGTCGGCAGGGAGGGCCACAGCCCCCAATCCCATGCAGGTGTCGAACTGGCAGCCTTGCTGCTAAGAGCATACGCTCTCACCAGCTCAGTGGCAGCTCAGCTCAGGCACAGCTCACTGGCCCATGTGGGAATCCAACCAGCGACACTGTTGCTCAGAGCTCACACTCTTAACCAACTGAGCCACTCTGCTGGCCCCTTAGGTCGTCTAATTTTTTCATGTAGCCTTTTGAGCACTTCCAAATAGTAAACTTGGTTAACTGTTTGTCCAGTTGATACAAATTCATAATAAATAATCCCTCTGATATCAAAAAGGTTAGCAACATCATTGCAAACAAGTTTGTGAACTTAATTGTCAGACCTTGTATATGGTATGAGGAAGAGTCTTAAGCAATGTATTTTTTTGAGTCCATTAAAAATTTTCCATATCAGGTGTGCAACAGACAGCTAGGGGAGGTCCTCTATTTGATCTCCCCTTAACCACGACTTCAACTGGGAACATGACTGTCCAGCCAGAAACTACATTTCCCAGACTCCCCTGCAGCTGGGGCACTGGAGAATTTGATCCAGCCACCTGCAAAGCTTCTGGCTGGCCAGCAAGGGAGGTCAGCTGTGTTTGAAGTGCCCACACTCCTGTATCAGTGTCTGGTCAGTAGCTTCCCATGTGGGACCAAGTCAGTTTGGGCCTCATTAGCAACAATGGCAGCTTCCTGTACTCTAGATTGCAGCTCAACAGGAGTTACAAACTTGAATTCAAGTGTCTCAAACCCAGACTGTCATTCCCACTATCCTTCCAATGATTTCATGAATACCCAATTTCCTTATTTTTCTCCCTGAAGTACCTAGAGTGGTTGCTGTAGGGCTGTTGCTACAACAGAAGACATTTTTGTGAAGATTAGAAAAAGAAGAAAGGCCTCTTCCTTAACACTCTTTCATGTTAGAAAATTATTAGAATAAACATCCAAGTCTACAAAGTGAATGGTGTGCCACTAAAGGTGGCATCCTTGTGCAGTACAGAACATGTCCAACTGTACATGGCAGCTTGGGTTTCAATTTCCTGCACTGAATGCTGATTGAGACAATACAGAAATCTGCAAAAGTAGTACAGGTGACTTCAGCTTGGATAATATTACTACAGTCTTGTATTTTCCCAAGGTTGCAAACTCCACATAACTGAGAGGTCCAAAAATTCAGGTTATTCTGATGTGCAGAGAAGAGAACCAGAGGACAAGAAAATAAAAACGACAAATGGTTGTGAAAAACCATGTATCAAAAAACACTTTAATATCAGCCTAACAGCGCCAGGTGCAATGTCTGGGGACAGACTCTGGGTACAATGCTGTGTGACCACTCACTCACACACACAGCTCCAAGAAGGCCCCCAAGGGGGACTTACCTTCAAGGGGCTGAGCCAAGGGGAAGAGGGAAGACCCCCAAACAAGGGGCAGGGGCAGGCAGGGGAAAGGCGCTACTTCTTGGCAAAGGAGATCTTCATGGCGTTGTTCTGCGTGATCTTGAAGCCCTGCAGGGCGTCGCGGGCGGCCCCTGCCTGCACCTCATTGTCAAACTCCACAAAGGCAATGTCATGCCGCCCAGGGACCAGCCGGACCTCCTTGAAGCCAGGGAACCTGAGAGAAGGGAGCAGACCTCAGGGATCCAGAGACGGCATTTCCCCTAACATTCTGGCGTCTGGTGGGCAGAGGCCAGGATGTTGCTAAATATCCTATAACGTGGAAGACGGCCCCAACTACAAAGAATTATTACCGAGACCAAAAGGTACATAGTGCTGAGTTGAAAAACCCTAATATAAATAAGCGCATACAATGTAAACATATCATTTAACGAGGAATTTTAACATGAATACCTATGCAAGCATTACCTAGAGCAAGAAATAGAACATTGCTCTCCCACCAACTCTTTTGCCCAATCATAACCGAACCACTTCTACTCCAGAAATAACCACTGTCCTGACTTTTAGGATCTGCTGTTTCATTTCCCTCTTCTCATTCCCTACTTCCTTCCTCGTGTTGACTGGGCATCCTTTTTTTCCATCAGTACACACATGGTCTTGTTTTTGTTTTATCCAGTTTCTCAAAATTTCCTCTCGGCACCATTAAGCATTGCCACGGCACTCTGTTCCTTCTAAGTCTGCACAGCACACCGTGGTGAGCACCACCTTTGACCTCTCCCTTCACCCAGGCTGCCTCCAACTCCCCACCAAGCATTGGGAGGAAGGTCCCAGCTACACTCCCTGGGCATGTGTGTTAAGATTTTCTTTAGGACAATCAGCAGAGCCACCAGATGAGCGCACAGCCCCTAATGTCATTAAACAGTGAACAGTTACCCTCCATATGGCTGCCACCTTCTATTTCCCATCAGCAGGGCACGAGGGCTCAAACCTCCCCACCTCCCAGGTCGCTGTTTCAGCATGCTGATTTTTGCCAGTCTGGACAGTGTTCAATGACGCCTCACTCCTGTTTTACGTGCACCTCACATTTCTCCAATTTATAGATCAGAAAGATGAGGCCCAGAGCCTCCCCAACCCCCACAAAGGCAGAAAACGGCCGATGTGCCCTGGCCACTGCTGACCTCTGGCCTCCGTCACCACCACACCTCCATGAACTGTGGGCCTGGCCTGTCTCTGCCCTTTATGTCTCCGGTCCCACATGCAAAGCCCATCCCCATGGTCCCTAAAGAATTCTGAGGCCCCATCCCCATGGTCCCATTCCTGGCCATCACCCTCCAGCCCCACGGGCCACAGGCCCTGCTTACTGGTTGAAAAGCATGGACAGCATGAGCTCGTTGGTCTCCTCCGGCAGGTTGGTGAGGAACAAGATGTGATTTGGTGGGTTTTCTGAAAGCTGCGAGGAAAAGACAAGAGCCCATGAGTGTAGTGGGGGATCTGCTGCCCTACTGCTCTCCACCCCCAACCCTGCTTGTATCCTTTCTAGCCCCTCACCTGACAGCCCGTGTTGCTCCCTGTCTACCCCGCTTTGCCCCCTCTAAACTGTGAGCCACAAGAAGGGGCTGCTGTATCCAGAAGCAGGTACTTGGCAAAAGGTCACTGGAAGAATCGAGGTGCTGGCCGCTGCTCCAGCCTCACCCTGACCTTTCAAAGCTTCTCCAACATGCCAGTACCTCACTGTCCCACGGCCTCATCCTCATTCTTCCTCATCCTCCAGCAGTACCTCCTCAAGGCCTGCCCAGACCACCCAACCTAAAGCAGGGCCCCCACGAGTCAATCCCCTTGGATTCTGACTTTCTGTTTATATGAGACCCCAGGACTAGACACTTACAGGCTGGGCAGGTGGCATTTGGCCCGGCATAAGCTGCTGTGGGGGCATGGCCCCCGGTGGGATCTGGCCAGGTGCTAGGCCTGGAGGCGGGATCATGCCAGGGGGTGGCATGTAGGGAGGCTGGCCCGGCATGTGGTGCATGATGCGGGGCGCCTGAGTCATCGGCGGCATGCCCTGTGGAGAGAGGGCTGGACTGAGCTGGGTGGCCGGCAGGTGGGAGGAGACATGCTGCCGGCATCAGCAGGAGGCACAGAGGAGAAAAAGTTGTTAGAGGAAACCCAGAGTGCTATAGACAGGGAGAAAGACCCAGACTTGGAAAAAGGTAAAAAAAAAGGCACCCAGAGATACAAGGGAACCCAAGTGAGACAGATGGAGCAAAACAGACCCAGGGTCAAGGGGGACATCAAATCAGAAAATTAAAAAAACTTTAACAAGGGCCAGCCGAGCGGCTCAGTTGGTTAAGAGCTTGCTCAAGAGTGTGAGCTCTAAGCAACAGGGTCACTGGTTTGATTCCCGGCCCGAGCTGAGCTGCCAACAGGTGGCAGGATGGCTCAGCTAAAATAAGAAAAAAAACTTCAATAAAAAAAATTTTTTTTTCTTAATATATAAAAACTAGTCAGTATGACCTAACTATATATATATAGATTTTTGAGTAAGAAAAAAGACTGGAAAAAAATTCAAAGCATTAAACATTGTTAACAAAAAAGGGTGGAAATAAACGCTATAATGAGCATGCTGTACTTTTGCTTATAAAAATAAACTTTAAGGAAAAACAAAAAATGAAACAAGCCCAGAGACCTACAGCGAAAAAAAACAGTGGAAGGCAGAATGAACAGGACAGGAGCAATATGAAATGGGGGGGACGGCAGTGAGAAGGAGACGGCTCGATGGCACACACAACATGTGCACTGAGGGGACAGGGCTGCCACAGTTGGAATCACACCTGACGACTCAAAGGTAGACAGAAATCTGGGTGCAGAAGAGGGCAGAGGGTAAGAGTGGGGCAGCTGAACAGTAATCCAGACACCTTCGCTGACGCCAGAAAAAGTGTCAGTTAGCATCAGTGGACGTAGGACGAAAACAGTGTGACCCACCAGAAAAGCACACACGCAGATTCAG